TCGCACAGTTCTCTTTTCGAACGGGATAGCTTATATTCTGTGGAATTATTCTACCGTAAAACTTCAGTCTGCCAAACATCAGCTTGAATATTCTAAGTCTGTTATTTTCCGTACACTTGTTAGGAATGTCGTTACTTGGACAACCTTTCCACCTCCGTCTCCAATCTGGAGGGAGAAGGTTCCTGCACAACGGGCCTCGATGGGGCTAGTGCTTCCGTGGATGATGTACCAGCTGGCGCTTGTGCATCCGATTCGGCTTCTTGTGCCGTGGATGAATCTGGCCCCAGTGGATCTCGATTCCGTGCTGGTCTGACTCTGGTCGATTTAGCCATTCGCTGTGGTCGAACCGATCTAGTCAATCTGTTCATCGCTCTCAGTGGTCTCCAGGCGACCAGTGCTGCGGTTTCCCTAACGCCTCCAGTCAAAATCCAATCCGCACGTGGTTCGCTAGGCTCGGGAGCGACGACATCTGATCCGCGGTCTAGTACGATGTCTCGACGTGCTTCAGCAAACCTGATCCATCCATCTTTACAACAGATAATTACACGAGCTCCAAGTCTTCTGAACAAACATGGAGTGACCCGAAGCAAATGGATGCCGTGTCAGGCCAGTCCGGTCGTCGCACGGGAATTGCGAGCTGCATTGGCCTCCTCAATTAAACATCCACCCACCGGAGACTTTCCATGTGCATTTATCAACGAATGGGGCACGTTTGCTTTACCGCACGCAGTCGGCAAACTTCCGGCTCCTGTCAAATACTTGCTCTTGTCGGAGTTGTGTGATACTCAAGCGCAATCAGGTAGGCGGTCGTGTCATCCGATGCGTTTGGCATGGGAGTCTTTCTACTACTACTAATAGTTTATCAGTGTTCACACTGTTTTTATCTTGTTTGCGAGTGGCATGAAAAGTTGGAAATCTGCACTTTTCCCCAGCCGGCGTATTCGTTGTCAAATGATTAGAGAATGTTAGATACTTCTCTGCATGCATACCGCAGCATTTGAATGTGACGCACATTTTAACAGGATAAGGTTCGAAGGTTCTTGAATGATATATCGTTCGAGTGTCCATTACCCTCTCCCGCTTCAGGTCAGAAACCGCAGGTGTATATCTATCCACTGTACATCTTTCCACCAGTCCGCTTCAGACTCTTGTTCAAGTTATCGCCTGGACGGCTGGTTTCTGAGACTTATCCGTTTCATGCGTGAAAGCAGGGTAGTGTTTGTGTTTGTTTGTGTGTGTGGGAGGGGGCGGGGGGAGAATGTAAACCAATCACACAACGATAGTCCTTTTTATCTGTAAGTTGAAAAATCTAGCATTCGCATGGTTTTGTGTGAAACTTATCACGTTGAATATTTTACAAATGACTCGCTTTGGAGAATCCGTTGATTGGGGGAAGGAGTAGGAAAGGTGAAATTACGTCAGCACTTAAGCTCCATGCTTGTTAAACCTGTGCTACACAAGGTTTGTCCACTCCTATCCAAAACGCAAGTGACCAAACTGCCGATTACTATTCGAAAGTGTAATTATCACTAGCCGATTAGAATACTGCTTCTCATTGAGAGTACCAAATCTACCCGTAAAAGAATGAATTATCAACAACAACAGCTACAAGAACAACAACTTTTTTTAAAGAAACCACTCGCGTTTTAACATTCATTTCCATCCGATCGTTCGTTAGGCTTGATCAGATTACAGTTTGGAAGCCCGGTAGACCACGTACTTTACTTTTTTTTACTAAGGCTGGAAAGGATAAGTCGGCTCCAGATATGATCATGAAATTCCTTGGGAGTTTGGTATGAGAGACGTTCCCTGCGTCATTCGGCGTTTTTTTATTATTTTGAATGCTTATGCGGCTGGTAAACAGGCGCCAGATGATTAGCCTAAAACCTACCACAACCTGGTAGTGCCACCGCTGTTTGTTCGCGACTGCTTATTTGTTGCGGTCTAGCACAATTTATTCATAGCTAACTTTCTTCGGTGAACGTATCCCTTATCCACAACGCGACGGTGCGTGTAGTAGCATTCAGCTCTGCTGAATCCGCCCCCCCCCTGAGGGTAGTCCACGTGAGATTCACCACACATCACAGTGATGTTTTCATCACTTATTTACACTTGTTTGTTTCTCTGTCTGAGAGTACAGTGAGACTTACTTACTGCGGTTCATATTTATGAGTAAGTTTGTCCCCCCCCTCCGCTTTTTTACGCTCGAAAACTAGCCCAACTCTATGTAACTCTGATTCGTCCCTAGATTCTCATATGAGTTGAAATCCCGTTCGTGGTTAGCATAACAATCGATACACTAGGTTTCAATCCAAATACAACTTGTTTTCTCCATCCGGATAGTTGTACAGCCTAAATGAGATCGAATTCTTCAAAGGATTATTTTAATTCTAGGAGAGTTTGTGAGTTTCATTCAAAATACCCGGTTAGACATTTGCGCTGCATGCCACTGGCTTCAATATCTCATCTATCCTATGCTAACTTCAAATGAATTCGCATTTAGCTTACAGTTGCGTGTGAGTAGTGGTATGGGATAATTGATATGGATTTGAATTAACTATCCATTGGACTTCACCTTCATGCACATTCCTCAGCTCATCCAGTCACCTATACACTTGTGGAAGCACTAGACTCGAGTTTCGCTATCTCATTAGAGCTCATCAGTACGGCATATCTACGTCCGAGCTTTGGACTCTGGACCCATCATCACATGGAACACCGGTTACTGACTTGCTCATGTNGGCTTCGAGACTCTGTGTGTTAAGATCAGTGGTTAAATCTATTCGACGATTTTTATCGATCGAAAGTTACCGAAGGTTACTTTTGAGTTATATCATCTTTTGCTGAATTGGTTACTTAATCCGTCGCATCAATAATCAGAGCTTTGAGAGTCGGTGTTTTGCTTCTGTCTCTCCACTAATGTGAACCCATCGGGGTGTTGGTGATTCACAAGGCGATCTGAAAGTCACATGCACACGGACATGGGCTACAGTAGTTCATGCCCTCGATAACTGGTTACTGTAGCATTAATAATGGCGAAAAAGAAGGCCTAAGCAAATCGCTCCTAATCCGGGTATTGTTCGAACTAAAGAGATTGGTTGTCCGTAAATTCAATTCGAATAAGCTGAGGTGTGTCCG